CAGCAGAAAGCCTCGGAGACACTGCAAATATTGATGGAATCACTTGTCAGTACATGAACTTGTTAGGAAATATTGGGATCCTTTTCAATACATTTGTATCTACATCACAAAATCTGTTGGATCAATATACAACTGGCTGCAGTCCCCATTGCCTTTGACCTTGGTCCTCTGTCCAGCTGATTTTTAGTAACTAATTCACTGACTTGTCACATTGTAAAATATAGCTAGTACGTAGGTGCCAAGAATTGTATCCAGCCCTGCTGTGTTTCTTCTGTGCTAGGAAGGTCATGATAACCACAGAGAACAATGTCATCTGACCTTGCTTGGTCCCTGCATTCAAGCAGCCGTACATCAGTAAGGGTTCCATCCTTAGCAGTGGCCTAAAACTGGTTTAAAATTAATAAAAAGGAGTAAGAACAGGCACCAAGCTTATTGGTCAGTAGCTACTTCTGGTCAGCTCAGAATTTCTGCCTAGGTGTCTTTCCCTTTCTCTCTGTTGCCTGGATTTTCATTTCTTGCTTGGTTACTCCTTCTGCTGAGATAGTGAGCAAAATCAAGAGTTCGATTGATGCAAAGCAAAGCAGAAGGGCTGGTGGGGCTTAGTCCTCCAGAAACCTGTTTCTCTCAGATTCAAGGTGCTATATCAGATCAAACCATGTGCCAAAGCACAGACAAAATTTATTCTTTTAGCACTTCACACACTCAAACATACAGAGGCCCATTCTATTCTATCAAATGTGTTTTTAGGATCTGGTGATGGCATTTCTGAATGTGTTCTGAATGATGAGACTTAGATGTTTTGACTAAGATTCTGTCCTTTCAGAAAGCCTGAAACATCAAAGTGTACACACCTGCACAAAGTGCTAGTTGGTTGATTTGCTAACCCCAAAATTAAAAGTTTGCCCTCAGTTTCAGCAGAATTAGATTCTTATATTTGACTTTAAATGACTTGACTTTAAATTTACCAGGCTTAGGAATAATGGTTAACTTTACTACAAAACTATGAATTCTGGTGGTGTTTTTTAAAATGCAGAATAAGAAAACCCCAGTACATTTGGGGATTAAGTCATTTCATACATTTTAAGAAAACCCTTTGGCACAATAATCAAAGCAAGAACATTATTACACTTTTTAAGTGGTGGTTCAGCTATTTTTCTTTATAGTACAGACATCCATATATTTCATTTTGGAGACTAATATGTTAGGAATTTGTGTGGAAAATATAAATAGCTCTGTCACTCTTTTAGAGGGATTGCCCGTACTATTCATACTGATCTCTTGAGGGGACATTTACCCAGATAGCTTTGTAACAGGAGAAATTAATGAACATGGATTGCAGCTCTCTCTTAAAAACACAGAAGTTCCACTGAGTTCTACAGGTTTCAAGTAATTTTTATGGGATTGCAGCTTATCTATGATGATGGTGATGGTATTTCATTTTTATACTACCCAATAGTCTATGCTCTCAAGCAGTTCACAATAATGTATCAAAGTACAATAAAAATACAGATATAATGTAATGGTGTAAAATTCCAATATACAATAGTTAAAACAGTTCAAGCATCTTAAACAATTTCAATAAAAACAGGTGACATATTCCATCATGTACCATTAGATGTATGGGAGTAGAAGGCAAAGAAAAGATGACAATGTTTGGTCAGGTAGGCCTTCCATGATTGGATGGCTACCACTGAGAAGGCCCTCCTCCTTTTGCCTTGTTCAGAACCTCCCAAGGAGGTGGCATTCAAAGGAAGGCCTCAAATGCTGATCATAGTATGGGAGTAGATTCAGGCTGGGAGAGGTGCTTCAACAGATACTGAGCTTCCAAGCCATACAGAGCATTATAGGTTAAAACCAGCACCTTGAGTTGGGTTCCAAAGTGTGCGGCTGATGCAAGTGGGCCAGAACTGGTCTTAAGTGCATTGCATTAATACAGTTTAGCGATTACCTGAGTTCAGATTGCAGAAATCAGGCTATCCTTTTCCAGACAGGGTCATGGCAGGGCCATCTGAGTCTCAAGTGACAAGATGGACCAAGGAGAATCATCAGACTACAAACATGCTCCTTTAGGGGAGTGCAGTCCCATCCTGAACAGCCTGAGCTCTTTCTATCCATTCAGAAGAACCACCCACTAACAGCATCACACTCTTGTCTGGATTGAATTTCAGATCATCAGCCTTTATCCAGTCCATCATCACAGCCAGGTTAGCACATCTACAGGCTCACCTGATGAGGATGAAAAGGAGAAATAGAGCTACATTGATGCCAGTGTACTCCAGAACTCTCGATGATCCCACTCAGTGGCTTCATGTAGATGTTAAATAGCAAGGGGGATAGGGCCAACTCACGAGGAACCCCTTGCTGGGATCAGGCAGTATTCCCATCACCTTTCTCTGGAGCCAGCCATTTAGATTGGAGTGGAATCACTGCAATACGGTACCCACCACTCCCATCTCAAATAGCCACACCAAACAAATACCATGTTGATGGTATCAAAAACTGCTGAAAAATCCAGGAGCATCAACAGGGTTACACTCCCTCTGCCTCTTTTCTGCAACAGGTGATCTTACAGGATGACCAAACCCCAGGCACTCCTGCTCTTTGTTTCTTTGCCAAAACCCAGTGTGAACCCTGACTGAAATAGATCCAGATAATCACTCTCATTCAAGAGTGGCTGGAACTGGTTGGCCATCACCTGCTCAAGGACCTTGCGCAAGAAGGGAACATTTTCCACTGGCCTAAAGTCGTTAGGCTCTTCCAGGTTCAAGGAGGGCTTCTTCAGGAGTGCTTAAGGCTTTACTACAAGGGCTTGCATGTATCAGCATGCAAGTTTTTCTCATTGCAGCATCCCATTCCTTCTTGCAATTCTGACAGCATTTTGGTCCTCCCATTGGTCTGCCAGGAAATAACAACACCATTACTCTCCACCAGAATTACCATCATTAAAATTATTTGTATTTATCAAACGAGGAGCAATCACTACTTTTAAAGAAGCCCTGGGTAAGGTGCTGGCTGAGCATATTCATCACCCTCACGTGGATGCTTTGTTTAGAAGATCTTCTCCAGCATGCATGCTCAGTGTGAGCCACGTGCGCTGCACCTGGAGCTGATATATCATGCCGCATAAGACAGGAAAGGTGAATCCTTTGCAGTCAGGCATTATCATTGCACCTGTCAATGTACACTGTGTAGACTGTATTGTTACTGGATTTGGGTGGCAGAGCACAGGAAGGGAGACATGAAGAGCTTGAGTGCTCTTGTTTGGCAGAAAGCCAAGGTAGAAATGAAATAAATGGATAATTGTGAGGGTCAGTTATATTCAGTGAACCTGATTTAGTCTCTTAAAAAAAATCAGCATTTGATGCATACACAAGATCACAGCCTCCTCTGTGCTAGCAGACCCATTGTTGAGCTTCATACCTTAGTGCTGTCATGGAAAAAATGGCCAGGGGGACAAGCCACCCTTTAATTTGCCCTCTTCTTTAATACAACAGGGAGATTCAAGAATGCAGAATGATCTTGTGTATCCTCCCTGGCCAATTTGCTGGTCTCTCCATCCTAATGCCTTTGGCGTTGCCATGCATTATAGAACAGGTGAGCCTGGCTTGTGCCTAACAGTATGCAGTCAGGAAAGTGCAGGTAAAGACTGCCTTTGAATGACCTCCTTTCTTGGCCCATTTTAAGGTCCGATCCCATGCAAATTTAGACAGAAACGGGCTTATAACACCTTCTGTGCCCAGCTGGTATAGCTGTAAGCCCCTTTTCTGTCTCAACCCCCACCCTTAGATGCCTGTCCAGGAACCAAAATGGCATCATTCTTGAAAATGTGTGAGTTCTATCGGAATGTAAACTGCCGAGGTTTCACTGAAGTCAGTGAGGCCGTGCTGGTTTAACATTAGCTGAGGACCTCTGCTGAAAGACAGCAGCTCTTGAATGTGGAGGTGGAGTAATGAATGGCTCTCCATGCAATGCCAAGCATTCTGCAGATACTATCTGTTGTAAACTGTCACGGGCAATTTAGCAGAAGATTCCTGGCCATTCCAGTTGCTTTGATAATGTCAGTTGCTGGGAGATAACCTTGCTGGTTGCTGCTCTCATATTTGAGCTGCCAAGGCCTGACCAGCTATTTAATGCTACCATATTTTAAGCTAAATAGCTCCTGACACAGTCTTGGCATTGAATTGAAGTTAGAATATTAAACTGTTGAGAATCCTTCCTTAGATGTGAGACAATAGTGGGAACAAGCATGAAAGGCAACTGGGCATTCTGTTACCATATAGCATATGCAGGCAAGTTGCTGCCTTCCAGGTTTTCGGTCTACGACTCCTAGAGGCCAACATGCATAACCAATAATTAGGGATTATACAAGTTGTAGTCCAAAATGTCAGCCTGCCTGCCCCCACCTTTTCAACAGAGTGCTGTGGAAATGCAACCATTTCATAGTTCTACTGGATATACCCAAAGTTAAGCACAATCTGTGTTAAAAACAAATTCAATTTTTGCTGCAGGTATCGCATCTTCTACAGCAAGAAAACCTTCACTGTGTACCAGTGATTTAAAAAGTTTGTCATTTATTTTGTTTCTGCCAGAATGGCAAAGAGCAATACACAACACTGACGCCCTGCTTCCTATATGTCTTCCTCAACCCTTCTCTTTCACAGATTCCAAAGTCTGGCTAGGGGTTGCCTGCATACTTTCAAGCCTGAAAGACTAGAAACTAGGACTTCTTTTAAAATGGAGGCTGGGGTGCCCAGACCCCTGAGCTGTGTCGACATTTCTGCATTGTATAATTGTATAACGATTGCGTACACAGCCTTGGATAGATCATCTGCGGAGGAAGTGGAACATTTCTTGTTTGCATTTTCCCTTGATTTAGGTTTTGTTTTGCAGGTCTTGCAGAGGACCAGAATCTGAGATTTGCTGCCCAACACCTGGCCTTCCTGATCCCTGTACCCTCAAAGCCCTTCCTACTGTAGGAGCGGCTGAGCCAGACAATCCTGATGCCGAAGAACAGCAAAGTGACGCAGCGGGAACAAAGCAATGAGCCAGTCACAGAATCGGTGGCTGACCTCCTGGCCCTTGAGGAGCCCATGGACTATAGGCACAGTGTCTTAAATGTGGCTGGAGAGAACTGGAACAAACAGCAGGATGTGGAGGAACCTGCTGAGGACAGGCCGGCGTGGAACAGCAAACTGCAGTACATTTTGGCTCAGATCGGCTACTCTGTGGGGCTGGGCAACGTCTGGAGGTTTCCATATTTGTGTCAAAAGAATGGTGGAGGTAAGTGACCTTGGGGGAAGACATATAGCATGAATAACAAGCTGCATGACATGGAAAAGAACTGTTCTAAGCACACCTTCTGCTTCCCTGATGTAATATAGAGAAATAATCTAGAGGCCATAGATGCTACCTCAGCTCAGCTCAGACCATTCATATACCATGTCAGACCACAAAAAGTATTGCTGTGCCAGCTGTGGGGAACTGGTGGCTCTCTATATGTTGCTGAAGACCAGCTCTCATTAGCCTCAGCCAGTCAGCATCAGGGATGCAGCAAGTTATAGTCCAACAACATCTGGCGGTCCACAGGTTCCTTTGCTCTGCACTGACTGTCAGTGGCTCTCCAGGGTTTCTGACAGAAATCTTTCCCAGCTCTACCTGGAAATGCCAGATAAAGCATTGTTCTACCCCTAATCTATGCCCCTTCTCCCGCATATATAACTGGCTGCATTAACTGGTTCCTAGAGAGTTTGTGCTAATTGACTTTCCTTGTCACTAGATCTGGGCGGGGAAGGCTCACTGAAATGACAATGAGCATCTTTTATCCTGAATCAAACTCTTTTTCAATTATTTATGCAGTCCACCAGATTCCTCTGTGACTCTGTTGTACTGGGCAAGTAACCCTTCTTTCCTCTTAGCATGTGAATATTACTTATGTGGTTGAGTACTTGATACAAATAATAACTGAAATAGCAAAAGGCTGTCCATTTATCCCAGGACTGTTTCTTATTCCTTGATTGAGTACACAAATTTGTGGTCAAAGTAAATTAAACCATTATAAACTCAAAATATATGAATGTATGAAGGAGCCCTTAGTGTTAAAGGCATTCCTCTAAAGCCAGGGCATTATTTCACATAGATTAGCCAAGTCTTTCCATGGTTTAAATTTGCCTAGTTCAATTAATTTATTTCAGGCTTATGGTTTCTGAACTGGCATGCCATAAGGATGCTTATTTCCTTCTTTTTATCAAAATGGTAAAGTTGTGAATACATCTGGTGGCTCAGTTCCTGGATTCTAAGATTTCAAGCTCAGACCTGGTGAATGTCACTGAGACTCTTCTCTCCAGTTCACCAGCAGCAAATTTAGAGATAGGCTGTTTTCTGGACCATTTTCAAGGGACCTGTTTCCTTCTGCTTCTTTCTGTCCTTCATGCCCAGGTTCAGATCAACTGATCGAATGTCCCTGTATCTTCTACTGGCTGCATTAAAAGCAACTTTTAAACATATCAGTAGATGGTATTTTCCCAAGAAACAGCACGTGCTATTTAAGAAGATCTGTCCCATTGTATTTAAGATCTAGCTGGAGGTTCATTAAGAACATCTACAGAAATATGTTGGATCGGACTAAAGGTCAACATTCTGTCCAGCATTCTGTTCTCACAACATCGGTTCAAAACCTGGTTCATTAGCTATATCTTGCAAGGACTGCTCCTAGCATTATGACTCAAAACGCATCATGCAACTGTTCTGTCTTTTCCTCCTTAATGTAGCTTTTGTACAGAAGAAGCACTGAGAAAATAAAGGGGCTTTACAATACATCATCATTTGCAGCTCCTGTAAAAATTCTGTGAATGAAGCACAATAAAAGCCTTGCTTGGAAGCATCTTAAAGAGGACAACTCCATGGTCCCTGTGAGGGTGGCCAAGGGCCCATAGGATATGGTGGATTCTTCATTCCTGAGGCAACAGACTAGGGAGTGAGTAACTTGTGGTCCTCCAGATGGTGTAACCTACAAATCCCATCAGTCCTAGCCAGCACAGCCAATTATAAGGGATTGTGGGAGTTGTAGGCTAAAGATTTGAAGTGCCACAGATTCCCCACCATTGCCATAGGCAGAGATATGACCTCAAAGGCAGTGATATTCTTTTCTATTCTGTAACCCTCTGCTGCTTGTTTTAGCTGATGCTGGATCACTGCCCCTCTTATTCTTTTGGACTGCAGCCCTAAACACACTTACCAGGGGCAAGCACCATTAAACACAGTGAGCTTTACTTTTTATGGGAAATGCCTAGGATTGCATTGTTAGTTGTACTGTGATTCAGACCTGCTCTATATGAAAATGCTTTCATCTTTACTAACATTTCTTATTTGCTTCCCTTGATTTTTAATTAACAAGCAGGATAATAGGATTCTTGAAATAAATAATACAAGATGCAATCCTGCATCCATTTACCCAGGAGTACATCTTACCCAATTCAGTAAATGATTGTGTTGCTATTAGCTCAGAGGTGCTTGCTTTGGCCTTCCTGTATTAATGGTTGGGACTTCTCAAAATGTTCCAAATAAAACTTTTACTAGCAAAGACTGAATGAGCTTAGCAGTCACAGGCAGCCATATTGCCATGGATGGCCTTTATGTAGAGCTGCGATGAACAAAAAGTAGATCCCCAGATGTTTTGGATTTCAACACTTGGTATTTGTGACCATTGGCTATGCTCGCAGGGGCTTCTACTTTTGTCCATCCCTGATGCCAAGTCTGTCCTAAGTAGCTATTGCTAATACAGTGCTGATGCTAATTAATTTCAGAGGGTTAGCTTTTGCAGCCCTAGAGCCTCTTCTCCCCTAAAGGGGAAGAAACTGCTTTGCTCAGAATCTTGTCAGAGCTGGTGATGGGAGCTGACTCAGCTGTGTGAAGGATTTTAGTAACTTGCTGAGATGTTGTGAGTTGCATCAAAAATTATGCCTGGGATAATCTGGTAGGGTGCTTAATTGTTTCAGGCCTGCAAATCTGACTCCCCTGATGGTGGAGCAGAATCCTGCCTACACAGCTTTCATCTCTATTAAAATTATGGATGTGCCTGAAATATTGATTTTTTTTCTGCTTTGAGTTACTGCTCAGCAGCTCAGACTTCCAGGCAAAATGTTTTTGCCTCTCTGGCCAGCTATTTATGCTTCTCTCTCCGATTAGCCAGAGATTAATGGAACTGCTATTTACGGATAGCTAGAATGTTCATCTAGCCCTTCCAGGAATTGTTCTCTTCAAGCACAGAGCAGGCATGTAAATACACCGTATATTCATGTATATATGTGATATTAAAGGTGTGTGTATCCTCACAAGGGTGATTCTGCATGACTGGCAGCTATGTAACCCCTCTCTCTAGTGTCATGGTACCAGGATACATTCAGGTACGTACTTCATATCATGCTTAGAGCAGCCTTCTTCAACCTGATGCCTTCCAGATATTTGTACTACAACTCCCATCAAGCTCTGTCAGTATGGCCAGTGGTCAGGAGTGCTGAGAGTGCTAGTCCAAATCCTTTGGAAGACCCAGGTTGAAGTCCAACTTAGACGTGAAAGAGGATTTTAACAGAATGATTTATATACTTTTCGTAAATGTGGACATGTGGAGGGGGTGCTTCCTCCTTAGGACACCTTCTGGTGTCATCTCCCCACCCCCAGTCTTCCTCAGCTCCTTTTCCTTGTCTTCCTGTTGGATCTACTCTCCAGTCCTGGGATACCCAGAGGGAGAGATCAGATGAGTAAGGAAATAGGTTTAATTGTTGCACCCTGTGGCTGCCACTTTCTTGCATGGACACATGCAGCAGCTGCTTGTTGTTTCTTGAGGATGAAAGGGAACAACCAACAGAACACTGAAATCTCCTGGGTCATTTAGGTATAGAGGTGTGCTCCACTTTGGAAGAAGCCCAAATGCAGGATCAAAGAGGCCCACTTTAGATACATTCGGAGCATCTCCGAAGCAAAGTGCCCAAAGTGGCTCCTAGTGAACTGTACTCCCCTAAACCTTTGAACCCATTTCAGCAGTCTGAAGCGTGGTTAGGTCCATTTTCGTAGAAGCCCAAAATGAATGCATTGAGAATTGCTATGACATGAGTGCCATTTTATGGGTAGAAAGGGAAGCTGTCAGGAAAATCAATAAATACAGTTTTGAACTTCCCACAAGCAATCTCTCCAAAAGGCAAAGAATGCCAAGTGGCAAGAGGCAGAGGAGGGAGGGCAGCTGATGGCAACAGTGGGGGAGGGGCAATGCGAAAGAAGAGAAGCTGCTGCCTCTTTAATAGTTGTTCATAAGAAGGCATTTCAGCAGGTAAAAGTTCCATGCCAAGCAATGCCTGCTGAAATTCCTTCTTCTGCGTAAGTATGAATGGCCTCTCCTGTACTTTCTAACCAAGGGTCACTTCACCAGAGCTCCACACCCCCTTTTAAAAACTTCCAATCATGGTACTTTTGGCAGGGACATAGATGGAATGTACCAAAAGCCATTCCACTGCTTTTTGTTGCTGTTTCTGGCAAGCGGCAGCACTTTGGGATTCCAAGATGGGTTTGCAGATCCCTGCAAGATGCCTAGTGTCTCCCTGCTGGCGATTCTGTTGTGTCCCCAAACCCAAGTCAGGCTCCCTCTGCACTTTCTCCCTGACTGGTTATCACCTTCCAGCCCTGCCAGTCATTTATAACAGGGGCTTGTGAGGCAGCCTGAGAAGGTAGATGAGGGCAGGGAAAGATCTGGCATTACCACTTCTGCTGTGCCAGCTTCCACTGCTTAATGTCAAACCTCCATGATGAGCTGAGCTTCTCGGGTTTTTTTTGGGGGGGGGGGTGGTGTGGGGGGGAGGATGAGAAGGAATTGCTTACAGGTACACAGAGAGAATTGCTTTTCAAAACAGCCAGATTTTAAAGTTCATCCTACACTATATAATACAGTACACACAAGCACCAATGCATACTCCCATTTGTTATTTTCGTGGTAAGATATCACTCATCCATTCCACTAAGGATGAAGCACTTTCTGTAATTCTGATGCACAAGGGCTCCTTGCACAATATGCTCCCAAAACTATTTGTCTGAAATTTGGCAGACTTTATCTTCTCAGAAAGAACAGTTATGATCCACCCTATTTTTAAGCTTTAAGCATTTGTAGACTTTCACATTCCAGTAAATGGGGAGACAGAAGCTTCAGAAAATGAATCAATGCAAGGCCTTGGTTTGATTCTGAACTGGAACTAGATGTCAGTTTGAAGCAACCCATTATCCAAAGTGGGTTCTGATGCAGACTTCTTTTCCTGTGCACAAGACCCTTATTTACTTACACACTGGGCATGGCCAAATTATCACCTTGCAATTTTCAAGAGGAAGTGCCACAGCAGAGAAATGCTGCTCCTCTACCATCTTGTCACTAGAGAATTAAAGTGTCTCAGATAAAATCCTCTCCAATCATGTGCAGCTACAATTTACTGCTCCCTCTTCTTCATGGGATTTAAAAGGCTCCATACATATTTCCTGTATTGCAACCCTATATGTATCAGGGTTGCAATTGCATGTCTGCATCATGAATCTGCCTTCATGTATTGAGCATGATGTTTACTGTGCACAAACATTATTTTATAGCTTTTCATGTAAACATTTTGAGTGTCTTTAAGAACATTCAAATGTTATCTGTTTCTGTAAAGAAGAGATCTTGCATTTCAAAGACACAAATACACTCAAAGATATTTGTCTGCTTCTCCCTTAACACTCAAACCCAGGGTCAGCCCATGAAGCTGATTGGTGGGAGGGTTAGGGTAGATAAAAGGAAGTACTTCTTCTCACAGCATATAGGTAAACTGTGGGATTTGCTGCTGTGGGAAGTAGTGATGGCCACTCATCTAGATGGCTTCAAAAAGGGATTGGACAGATTCATGGCTGAGGAAGCTGTCAATGGCTACTAGCCTTGCTACTTCTTTTACCGGAAGTGGCATGCTGTACACACCAGTTGCTGAGGAGCTTGGGCAGGATCCTTCTTCCTGCTTGAAGGATCCTGTGGGCAGCTGTTTTGCCACCATGTGTACAGGGTGCTGGACTGGATGGACCTTCAGTCTCATCCAGCATGGCTTTTCTTATGCTCTTGGTTGCCTCCATCATTCTCCCTCTGTTGAATGTCAAGAATGCTGGGGGCATGGCTTTCTTTTTCCAAGTCTGTGTTCCTGACTACCACAACAAATATTTCCTCACACAATCTGATGTTACCCCATAACTGATATCCCCTCAAATCTGGTCATTCTGTGGTCTGTCTGGGACAAGTGTTTGCCGACTTCATGTTTGAAGCAACAGTTCTGAGGAGAAGAGGTAAAAATGTTCAACATGGGAACATTGTGAACTGGAGAATGGTGTAAAAGTATTGCATAGCTTTGCTGGGAGATTATGGGATGTGCCAAAAATGAACTAAAAGATAATGAATAAAATTAATATTGTCCTGTGCAGTCCAAGGGGGACATCTCTAATGAGCCTTCTCTTTCCTTCCAGGTGCCTATCTTGTCCCGTATCTGGTGCTGCTCATCCTTATTGGACTCCCTCTCTTTTTCCTGGAGTTGGCTGTAGGCCAGAGAATCCGCCGGGGCAGTATAGGGGTGTGGAATTACGTCTGCCCCCGCTTGGGGGGCATAGGATTTGCTAGCTGCCTAGTGAGTGCTTGGATGAAGCTCATGACTGGTCATATGGACCTCGTGGTTCTGTGTGAACTGTTTGTGTGGACAAAAAATACATTTGCTCCTACTGGTAGATCTTTGGGTCCTTTGCAGTAGGCTGATAAGGGTTTCTGTCTCTCAAATGTTTGGCAGAAATAGCAACAACGAAATGAATCTTTCACTCTCTCCTCCAGTGGATATTTGAATGGAGGGACGGTAAACTCTGAAAATAAGGCTGTTCACTTGCCACAGTGGGCAAGGTGCTGTCACCCTGGATGACCCAAGCCTATTTAGAAAGATTTCTTTAAATCACAGGTGATAAATGGATCAGTGGGATCAGGTCTATGAGACGAAGGCAAGATATCCAACAAATCAAATAAATGAATTGGATAAAGTTATTAAATTTCTATACCACCCAATAGCTGAAGGTCTTTGGGCAGTTTATAACAATTAAAACCATAAAATGCAGGAGAATAAAATAATATAGAGCTTAAAGTAAAGTAAAACTACTGTATTAATGTGAAAACCAGCAGTTTAAAAATGCAGTAACACATTTTAAAAGAACAAAAATTGAAGAACTAAAATGTCCGAAAGAATAGACTGTCTTCACTTAGCACCAAAAAGACTACAATGTACATGCTAAGCAAGCCTCCTTGGGGAGGGCATTATACAACAGAGGTGCCACAATTGAAAAGGCCCTCCCTTGAGTTGTCTCATTTCATTTGGGAAGGACACCTGGCAGAAGGCCTCTGAAGATAACCTTTGGATCTTGTCAGATACATGCACACGCACGCACACAAGAAAAGGAATTCTTCAGATATCCTGGCCCCAAGCCATTTAGGGCTTTCAGAGTTAATACCAGCACACTGAATTAAGACCAGAAATAGGCTGTAATTTCAGAGAAAATATAGTGCCATGGTTATGTGAAAAGTATAATGTGAAACAAGTTAAAGTGTAAGACGAAGCGGCTTTTACATTCTCAGCCTGCAAAATTAGCTTCTGTTAGTTCTGTATAGAAACCATACATATGGGCCTAGTTTTCCATCTTCCTAAATACCCCTTACTATGTTTCCAACTGTGTAGCAGTTTGTTCTAAAGAATGAGGAAGACTTATAGCTAGCAGAGGAGGATAGGCTTCTGTGATCTTGGTCAGAAGTCCCAGGGTCCAAGGTATAGGATCCAGTAGAACCAAAATACAAAATCTGTTGGATTTGACAATGCTATATAAGCTTCAATTGATGGTGGAAATGTAACTCAGCAGCAGATTGACCCTCAGTGATATGGAACAAGATCTTCGATAGAGAAGGCAGCTACTGATGAAGTCATTTTTCCCAGCCTCTTTAGCTTCCATCTTAAGATCTCTGTGGGAACTGGAATTAAAGGAGCAATAAGGAGGGCATGGAGGGATTGAGGAGAAGATGAATGAATTCTCTTTGTTAAGCTTCATAGCAGAGGATGCAGAGCAGATACCTGTCCCTGAGTTTATGTATTCTGGAAGGGACTCCAGGGAATTAAAGCAAGTAGTGACACAAGATGAAATTCTCAACCTTATTGATAAGCCAAAAGTCAACAAGTCACCCTGTCCAAATGCTTCCCATCCTAGAGTTATCAAATAATTCAAGCATGAAATTGCTGACCTTCTTACCAAAATATTTAACTTGTCCCTAAAAATAGCCCTTGTACCAGAGGATTGGAGAATGGCCAATGTAACAACATTAAAAAAAAAAAAAGGATTCGAGGGGCAGGGGGATCTGGGAAATTACAGGCTAGTTAGATATCTGTTCTGAAAGGCTAATAATGCTTAAAAGCATTGTTGTTGTTGTTGTTGTTAGTCACGAAGTCATGTCCGACCCATTGCGACCCCATGGACAACATTCCTTCAGGCCTTCCTGTCCTCCACCATCCCCCGGAGTCCACTTAAGCTCACGCCAACTGCTTCAGTGACTCCATCCAGCCACCTCATTCTCTGCCGTCTCCTTCTTCTTTTGCCTTCAGTTGTTCCCAGCATTAGGCTCTTCTCCAGGGAGTCCTTCCTTCTCATTAGGTGGCCAAAGTATTTGAGTTTCATCTTCAGTATCTGGCCTTCTAAAGAGCAGTCAGGGTTGATCTCCTCTAGGACTGACCGGTTTGATCGCCTTGCAGTTCAAGGGACTCGCAGGCGTCTCCTCCAGCACCACAATTCAAAGCCCTCAATCCTTTGGCGCTCAGCCTTCCTTATGGTCCAGCTTTCACTGCCATACATTGCAACTGGGAAAACCATAGCCTTGACTATACTCACTTTTGTTGGCAGGGTGATGTCTCTGCTTTTTAGTATGTTGTCTAGATTTGCATTATTATGCTGTCTAGATTTGCATTGAAAGTATTATTAAAGACAGAATTAGCAAGCACATAGAGAGTGAAGACCTGCTGAAAAAATATCAGCAGTGCTGCCACAAGGGGAAGATAAAGACATTCAATGTATTCTTCTGGCTGTTCAGAAGGAACCCATGAATTTCAATGGCCATTCTCTGCTCTCTGTTTCACATGTCCCCACTTTGTTTGAAGGATATCCTGTTCTACAGACTCAACATATTTTTTCATTCTCCTTTTGCCAGGTCTGCTTGTTTGTTGGGCTCTATTACAATGTGATCATCGGGTGGAGCATGTTTTATTTTTTCAAATCCTTCCAGTCCCCTCTTCCTTGGAGTGAGTGCCCTATCATCAAAAATGGCTCAGTGGCAAGTAAGTATCTGGTCTTAACAACTTTGAATTTGAGGCAATGGAGTGGAGAGACCCTTTGGTTTATGAATGGGTTGAGGTTTGACGCTATTTTTATTCTGCCACTTAGAACTGAAAGGTGGGTAATTCCTGGAGCTGTACTTAGTGTTGATTGATGTCTCATAGGACATGCGGGTAGCAGTGGTAAAGTGGTTAATTTTGGGGCAAGTGCTGCTCATGAGAGGCCAGCTGCCAAAACCCCATGGAGAGTCTAAAAATGCAGCCCACTGTGTTGACTCAACTCTCCCTCAATCTCTTGCTCTGTGTTTGTGTGTGTGTGTGTGTGTGTGTTGCAGGTCCTTTTTATAAAATTCACAAGTCTTAATTATCTGCTTTAGTCCAACATCCAACTTGCACACAATGCAGCAGCAGCAGGAGTGCAGTGGCGAGCTGCTGACTACTGTGTAAAGGCACTTTGCTGGCTATCATCAGCTACAGCCCCTTGACCCGAGTTGCTGGTCACTGTTTGCCACTCTGGCCACGGGGCTTTATAGGATTTGGCTTGTCCATGGCTTAGTGTGTCATCCAGATTCAGACAATAAACTAAGCCAGGGATGGGTGGTTAATAAACCCCACCAAGAGTAGTTGTGCCAGTCTATAACCCAGTACAGAGTGGCTTATAAACCACCCTCAGGGAAGGGGATTCAGAGGACATGATAAGCCACTGCTCTGGTCCCTCCTAACAAAACTTTGAAATGAGTTAGCCCTGACTCCACTGGACTAATGGTGGTTGAAACCATTTGCTTCCCTTTCCTGTCCTCACAGGGCATTAGGGGAAATAAGTACTCACTTGCCCTGGGCCCAATACTAATTTCCTCTAGGAGTGCTGAGAATTCTGGAAGGGAACAACTCTCTAGTCCCAGCAACAATAGTTTAATTTTATTTCCAGGTGCTGGGATGTGGGATTGTATTTGGACATTAGCTGTCAGGAAATGGGATTCTTTCCAAAGTGTGCAATAGAGATACTCTGGAAGTTAATGGAGCATTTAATAGAATTTGGACATCTCCCAGCACAAGGATGAATCTTTTATAGTGGGTGTAAATTGCCCCATTTATTTAACTTCTACATTCAGTTGGCAAGATGTTCTTCCTCCTCCTTTCCTTTCTCCTAAGATGAACTTCAGCATCCTTCCTAAATGCCCTGTGTCTGCCCTGCTTAGCCTTTAAGTACTCTCTTGCTTTGGTGTGGCTTTCTGAGGCACCAAGGCAAAGAACTGTGGACAAAGGACTGTGAAGTTTAAGCTCTTGTGATTTTCAGCTGTGGAACCCGAATGTGACAAAAGCTCTGCTACTACTTTCTTCTGGTATCGGGATGCCTTGGACATTTCCAACTCCATTTCAGAGGGTGGTGGCCTTAACTGGAGAATGACTTTGTGCCTACTGGCAGCTTGGAGCATCGTGGGCTTGGCCATGATCAAAGGAATCCAGTCCTCTGGGAAGGTAAGCACTGATGGTGGCAGCCTAAACCTGGTCAGACCAGAATTTGTTGGACCCCACAACAGATTGGTGCACCCTTGCATAACCCTAAGTCAGCCTTGCCCAATATAGTGGCCTTCAGATGTTTGGACTTCAACTCCCATATACCCAGCCAGCATAATGAGCAACGTTGGGAGCTGCATTCCATAGCAATGGGAGGGTACCAAGTTAAGGAAGGCTGTCCTAAGGAGATGTCCAGGTTAGAGGTTAATAGGTGCTGTCAGGGCCACCATCCTATATCCTTGGATGCAACCAGCCCCACACTTCCTCAGTAGCCCCTGCTGCCCAGGTAATCACAGAGCAGTGAGCAGCCAGAAAAGGAGAGGTGGCAGGCTTTATCAGTGGAGCCACGAGATCCTGGGGGCCCTGTACAGTCTTGTCTGGTCTTCTACTTTCCAGCAGCCATTTGGACAAAAGAAGAACATATATAAGAACCCTTAGTTCCTGTGCAGAGAAGTGAGGCCAGAGTTGCTGCAAGATTCAGCAGCACCCTATGGCATCCTCAGGCAAATAGCCCCAGATATTTCCGGGCTCAAGTTAGCAGTCTTAAGCCATATCCACATTACTTAAGAGTCACTAATTTATCCCTGAGAACACTAGGAACAGAAGTTCTGCTGCAGGGGAGGGATGGAAATCTCCAATCAGGTGAAGGAACCATCTCCTCCTGTTGTTGGATTCATCTCCCATCAGCTGTAGCCAACATACCCAATCCTGAAGGGATAATGGGAATTACTGTCCAGAAGGTTCCCCAGCCCAGCTATAACATATAATGCTCAGTGCCTTGCCAAACTACCATGTCCAAGAGGCTTTATAGCAAGCCTTTATAGATAAGGTCATTAAAATGGTAGGAAACTGGTAAAATTTCTAGTGGTGTAGGTATGGCCTTAGTCTCATTTTACACAGTCTGCTTCAAGTTTAAATCATGTGGGATCCTCTTTCTCTCATTCTCTTTCTCTCAGGTGATGTATTTCAGCTCCCTCTTTCCTTATGTGGTGCTGATCTGCTTCCTGGTCCGGGGATTGCTCTTGAGAGGTGCAATTGATGGCATCCTTCATATGCTCACTCCCAAAGTACGTCCAGTGTACTTGCTATGCCACATGAGGCCTTCAGACCAATCAGGGAAGCTTCTCACAACATGATTTGCATTTTTGTACAGATAGTTGAGTGCAGAGTACCAGTTGCCTTCTCTCATTGGGACAACAAGCTAAACTGTACAACTGGTTCATATGGATAAAGAGATGAAAAGGAAACCAAATTTATACGTGATACGCAATATTTCAGAGCTGTCAGAGAACCTATAAAAATTGAAACCAAGCAAGGGCCCTTTAACAATAGGAGTTTATCCTAAAGGAAAATTACAGACCCAAGCATTTACTCCACTTCGTTTCAGATCTCTAAGACAAAACTTGCCAGCCCATGTAATAATTAGCAGGAATCCTTTGTTTTTGGTCATCATCACATGATTTTCTCACTAAAATTTCAATTGCTACACCTGTGGTGCTCTCTTAATAATGTCAAAGAACAGCACATTTTATGCAGGGAAAGGAGCAATGGTGCTATATCTTTAGCTGAAGTGCTGAAGCTAAACTATTTTGTGGATGCTAGTCCACACCAGCACCCTGATTCTTCCCAGTCCTTGGGGGAGGTGTAACTGTGAATTGAAAAGACACCTGCAGTATGTATCCATTAATTGGGCAGTTTATTAATGCATTGAATAAAGATGTAGATGATTCCTATTGATGGCAGAAATGATGGCAGCTGATGGCAGAAATGAATCCTGATTAGTTTTTTTTTCTTTTTTTGATTTATATCCTGCCTTTTTCCTACAAAGGGCTCAAGGCAGCTTACATCATTCTCCTTCTCCATCTTATCCCCACAAAAACAACCCTGTGAGGTAGGTTGGGCTGAGAGTCTGTGACTGGCCCAAAGTCACCCAGTTGACTCCATGGCCGAGCAGGAACTAGAACCCAGATCGCCCGAGTCCCAGTCCCATGCTCTTAACCACTACACCACACTGGTTCTCTTTTGAATTAAAAAAAATCTAAAAACACCCACACCTTAATCTACCAGGTCTTATTGTATATAGTCTGATCAACAACTCTGTATTACTCATTAGCACACAAAATCATAACTCATAAATCACAGAACCATGGAATAGAGTTGGATGGGACCAATAAAGTGATCAGGTTTAACCCCCTGCTCGGTGCAAGACTCAAAGCTGTCCAACTGCAATACTTGTGAACGTCACCTTTCACTGAATTGTACAGATTCTAGCTGCCAAAAAGTCCCACTAGTAATACAATGTGCAATCATCTTAAGTTAGTAGTGTATTAGACACAGACTAACACTAGTCTCTTTTGTACAAACAAAAGAGGTTTGTACATTTGTTTACAAAAGGCTCTTAAGATATTACTCATGTAGGGAGCAGGCCTACTTCTTCTAAGAAAGCAGCCTTCCAGCATCGTTGCCTCAAATTCTGACTCAGAACTGGAAGCAGCAGCAGTGAAATTCTTAACTGAAATGTCAAGGTCAGAAGGCCCAGAGATAAGCAAGAGGCTGATTGAACAGGCTGAGTTGGGTGGGGGTGCATTCAACATTATTAGTCAGATCAGATTGAAAAGGGCATTCCAGATGAATAGTGTCAGAATTTCTGGCCAGCCAGGCCACAAGCCGGATGAACCAACTTGAAGATGGATTCAACTCCCTTTCTTTGGGAAGGGAGGAGAGATATGGAAATACCATATCTCTCCTCCCTTCTTTGGGAAGGGAGGAGAGTTTGGAAATACTTTTCTACCATTAAGCCACATCGTCCCAATAGCTGGCATTCTAACTTCCTTGGTGTCTTCTTTTAATGACTTCTGCAATACTCTTCTTTTGCAACACCAAACGAGCCTATTGGGCCAGGTTTAACAGAGTAAAGACTATAGGTAGATGCCTTCTGTCCTGATCTGCTTGGAAGGAGGGTGGAGGAAAGACCAGCTGGTGATGGCTAGTACATTTGTTTACAAAAGGCACTTAGGAAAATGAATTCATAGTACCAGAAAGGCTCTCCTATGTATTCTGTGAAGTTTATTGACACTTTTAGTCAATGGCCTAATTGATGGGGTTTTTATTTCCATTAAAAGGGAGGGGTTAATTCCAAGCAGTAAGAGTTGAAACTGCTAATTTTCCTTTCAATCCTTAATTTAGACACTGTGTGTGTTTGCAAGTTTTCTCTCAGTTACTATAAGAGCTAGAATCTTCCTTCCTATAGATGTTGCATTTTTTTCAGGATACCAGATTCCATCCCAGGTGCCTGATTGGAAAGCTGGTGGAGACACCTAGTGTGTGTAATCAAGATTACTATTTTAAAATAGGCATTCATAACAAAATGATAGAACTTAAGAGCATGGTCAGATGTATAAGCTGTGAGTTTCACCCTGCTCTGGAAGGGATCATGTTCTCCCTAAATATTAGGGCCTAAAAAATAAGGTCGTGCTGACTGACCCACCATTGTCACTAGAGGCTCAGATGGACTCTGGCTTTTCATTAGCTTTGACAGAAAGGCTGCAGCCCTACCTGGATGGTAATAGCCTGTCTTAGTTACCCATGTTGTTGTGATTTCCTGTTTTGACTATTGTACATAGGGCTGTCTGTTAAAACAGTCTGGAAACTGCATTTGGTCCAAACTAGGACAGAATAATGCAGTCCTATTATGCCAATATTATTATTATATTACAATATTATGCCAAGGGATGCAGGTGGCACAGTGGTTTAAACTGCTGTGCTGCTGGGCTGGTTGATCAAAAGGTCCGGTTCGAATCTGCACAACGGGGTGAGTTCCCATTGCTCCCTCCCAGCTCCTGCCAACCTTGCAGCTCGAAAGCATGCAAATGCAAGTAGATAAAAAGGTACCACTTCAGTGGGCAGGTAACAGCATTCTGTGTACTTCGGTGTTTAGTCATGCTGGCCACATGACCACGGAGACTGTCTGCGGACAAATGCTGGCTCCCTCGGCTAGGAAACAGAGAGGAGCACCGCCCCCTAGAGTCAGACATAACTGGACTTATCGTCAAGGGGAAACCTTTACCTTTACCTTATGCCAATAGCTGATCAGCTGCACCCTCTTCCCATCTGCTCTGATGCCTTCACAGTGCTGGTTTTGATCTTATATCCCTAGCGGCTTGGGTCACCTTCTCCCACATATGCTTGTCTAGACCTTAAGATCTTCTTTAGGGACCCTCTGCATGCCCCGCCAAACAAAGTAAGGCTAGCAAGGAACGAGCCTTTTTGTTGGTGGTTGTGGAATGTCCTCTCTAGAAAGGCATACCTGGAAACCTTTATTTATGTTTCAGAACTTGTACCTATATTTTTACTTATGCTGTGAAACTGGTCTGCTGACCACTTTATACTGCAATTTGTTTAATAATGTTGCTGTGTTTTAATGTTGTGTTTTATATTGTAAGTTGCTCAGAGAACATTGCTATTGGGCAGCAAAAATCTGAGCAAACCAAAATAAATTAATTCATTGATTTCAACGTATCCTAAGCATACCTAACATTCTTAGGATGTTCACTTAGACACTAAAATCCAGTTAACCGAGGAGGAAGAGAAAAAATATTGCCTAGCCTGTGCAAAAAGGGCTTATATCTTAGTGAGAGCACCTTTAAGCAGCAATGTACTGTTCTCTGCTCTGCTTTCTCTGTGTGTTGAGTGTGTGCTTGTCAGATAAGCACAAAACTGAGCATTAAAGAAGATACAGGATGGTTCCTCTTGTTCTTTCTTACAGCTTGATAAAATGTTGGATCTCCAAGTGTGGCGAGAAGCAGCCACTCAGGTCTTCTTCGCTCTAGGACTAGGCTTTGGTGGAGTTATTGCTTTCTCCAGTTACAACAAACAGGACAATAACTGCCACTTTGATGCAGCCCTCGTCTCCTTCATCAACTTCTTCACCTCCATCTTGGCCACACTCGTGGTCTTTGCTGTGCTGGGCTTCAAAGCCAATGTCATGAATGAGAAATGTGTCATTGAGTAAGTACCAATTGCAGTATCTCTCTAAGCGTTATTCTGGTCTGAGTTTTGATAGCCTAGACTTGCAGTGCTCTTCCTGCCAGGATAGAGGTCTAGACTGCTCTGTAGAAGAGGACAAGAAGTTTTTCCATTGCATTGTTTTTGCAGAAGGTGCAGAGAAGCAATAGAACGAATGCCTTCCACATCAGTTGTTGGTGGTTCATTTGCCTATTTTGCAGACAGAAGGTGTCCATCAACTTATGCCCAGAACAAATTAAGCCATCATGTCCATAAAGGCCAGGAAATGACTTTGTAGTGATATTTAGCTTCTCTACTTTAGGAATGCTGAGAAGATCCTAGGCTATCTGAACTCCAACATCTTGAGCCATGCACTTATTCCACCCCAAGTGAACTTCTCCCATCTCACAGCCAAGGACTACAGTGAGATGTATAGTGTGATAAAGACAGTGAAGAAGGACCACTTCCAGAAGCTGGGGCTGGATCCATGTATACTGGAAGATGAGCTTAACAAGGTACCTTTATAGCATGACTTGCTTTTCATAATCATTTTGCACCCAAAATGCTGACTCTGAGAAGACCTACCCTGGTATTTCTCTGAAGACTCTGAGAGGAAAGCAAAGATGGTACAGGTCTTTTGTCCCACTTCAACATCCACATGGACAACCACATGATCAAGTGCTTCCCAAGTTTCACCAAAAACCCATTCCCCCTTCTGCTTGCTAGGAATAATCAAAGCCCAACCCAACTGGAGGGTAGCAGATTAAGAAGGGTGCTTTACAACAAGCCTTTAAAAAGTCCCCAGATGTGCAAATATAATCAAAGACTCGAAAAATCAGATCCATTTCAGGAAGAAAAAAATAGCTGCAGCAATCAGTTTACTGTGGTTCTGGTCTTCAACATTCCTAAAATTACAGTGATGTGGTAAAAAACAAACAAACAGTCAGTCCATGATGTGGTCTGCAACCAGCAGCCCACTGAGTGACTTAAAGTAGCTTCCACATATGTAAACCGATTCCATCACCTTGAGAATGAGAACAAATAGAACCCACAAGGCATAATCATCTTAGTTTCCAGTCCTGTTCTAGTTTGAGAGCTTTTGCTGTTTCATGTAAAGGGTTAAAATTAAAAGCATTCCCAATATTTTGGAGGGCAGTCCAGCTTCCTATCTGAAAAGGCCAGTACTCATGCATCAGGTTAAAGTATTCCTAAATGAATCCAGGTACTTATAAAAAAGTTGTGAAAATTTTTGTTCCCAGAACTGTTGAACAGAGACTTTTTCTGATGCGTCTGCTTTCCTGGTACCATATTGAACCACATCAGAGCAGCCTGGGGGAAGCTATGGCATCACAGCATGAAGCAATGGTGCAGCAGAGGAATCTTGCTGTGATTCCTGTTAGGTTCATGCAGTCACTATCTGCACTGAAGGCCAACTTGATATCTCATCCCATCCTGTGCCTCTTTGCTGAGTAAAACTGAAGAGAATCACTTCTTCTCAAGTTCCTGTGCTGAAAACAGGAGGTGCTGATGTACCTCTCCAAATGCCTCATATGAGTGTATTTATATCTTGACCCTGTTCAGACATAATACTAAGTCATTGATAGCATCAGGAGAATGAGCAGGAGCAAACCTTGGACTTGTGTACACTCCTTTCCCCTTTCATTTGTCATGGAAACAAGAGGGAACCTTTGCTTCCATTTAAGATTTACTGCAATTTAATGTGTTCAGCAAAACCCTAAGCTGTGGTTAATGGAAATGAGTCAGAATTATAAACTACAATGTGAAGGTGGCTTGCTTCTACTAACTATAGTTAAGATTAACCACAGTATCTATAGATTCAGGCAGCACAGCAAACAGTGAACGAAATGGAAATGAAAGCTCCTGTTCACAGCAGCATGAGAGGAGGTGATGGGAGCACGTGAAATTGAGGCTCAGTGTAGCTCATTCTCATAATGCTAAGCTATGATTGCAACCTTACATCCAAACCAGCCAATAGCCTTTCTCAAGGGATGCTCTTTCCTGATATATCAGGTTGCAGGAAGAAATCACCCTAGCTCTGTGTCGTAGTGACATCGTATACCTATGTTTTGAATGTTGTTCTGGCATTCTATAAATGCAGGGTTATTATGACAGTTTTATCACTGAAGACGCTTTGACCCATAAACATGTTGCTGGTTTTGATCAAAGAATGTACTGCAACAGCTTTGCAATTGGTTGCTGAACTCTCCTCTTTTTAACACAGCTGCCACTCATTTTGAACTTGCTGAGCAAAAAAATAAGTCTGAAGAAAATGACATGGGGCTTTCAATGTGATGGGGGCAGAGGCTGATGGTAGTTGACAGCATCTCCCATCCTCCATAACCTGTCCTCCAGTTCTCCATAAAGAGCGGAGATGAGAAGACCTGACAAAAAAATACTACAATATTATGGGCTTTTGTAGGATGAGGTTACTGTTGTGAGAAATGGAGGAATAAACGGGTTAGGTATCCTTGCACTGGAAAACCAGCGCTAACCATCCTTTCTCAGGACAGGTGAATGTAGTGAGAAAAATGCTTGTGCAACCATCAGTATGTGGTATGATGTAGGAACTCTTCACATTTGAAACTGCCTTACGGCTGGCTTACTGTTTCACTCTGAGAGTCTACAGCAGCAGTAAGGAACCCCTTTCAGCCTAGGGAACCAATTTGACTGCAGAAAAGCTTTTGGGGGCCTCATGGTCATGGTAGGCAGGGACAAAATACAAAGCAAAGCAAAGCAAAACAAAACAGTACAGCCTAGCTAAAGGCTCTTGCTACCAGCACCTAAGCCTTAGGACAGGCATTTCAATATTTTAGAATGTGTGGGGGCTGTTTTTATACTGTTCTTCTCTGCCACGTGTAACAAGCGTCTTCTTTTGGCTGCGTACAGTCAGTGCAGGGAACTGGCCTCGCATTCATAGCTTTCACGGAAGCTATGACCCATTTCCCAGCTTCTCCTTTCTGGTCAGTGATGTTCTTCCTGATGCTGATCAACCTCGGTCTGGGGAGCATGATTGGAACCATGGCTGGCATCACCACGCCCATCATTGACATGTTCAAAGTGCGCAAGGAAGTGCTAACAGGTGAGTTCTCCCTGCGTGTCAGGGAAACTCAGAGAATTTCACAGCGTATCACTGCAGCCCATGCAGTGGGAAGCATCATCCTGCATCAGCAAAGACTTCAGGATGGTGTGTGGAGTGTATGAAAGTTTAACTCATAAAATAGTATTGCTTTAAATTCATCTCTGGTTCTGAAATATGCCTGCAGTCGCAAAAGAGATAACAGAAGGATCTGCTATTTAAAGGGAAGATTTTTCTCCATCGTTTCTGTCTACTCTGGGAAGAGGGGTTGCAATAGGAATGTTGAAGGGGTAGCAATGGGAATCTTTTCCTAGAGGTCTCTGCATTGGGCAGCTCACTCCTGGGGGAATGAGGCAGTTGTTTGGGACAGAATGTTTCCGGAAGTGGATCATAAATTCATGAGAACAGCCTGTGGCCAGTAGGCTTGGCTGCTATACCACTTTCCCTCATTAGTGGTGCATTAACAGTGTGATTGTGTGTGCTGATTTGGATGGAAATATCAGTATTTTTGATGGCATTTGCTTCCACATGAGTGTGGATGAGATCTGGCTTGCGCTATGAACTGAGCATTTCACTGCATGCCAAACTCGTCCTGGATCTGTTCAGCCTGCATGTGCAGAGTTCCCTTGTGTGGACATGTCAGCTGATCCAGATTAAATGACTCAAGTTATGAAGCACTGGTGACAAACTCCCTTGCATTTTAAGGTGCAGCCCTATGCAACTCTGCACAGAAAATGCTAGATAGGCTAGCTGAGGCTGATGGAATTGGCAGTCCAACAACATAGGGAGGGCTTCTTGTTCCCCACCCTGTCTTAAGAGCTTGACTTCACAAGCTGAATAGCAATGTAGAGGAGAGTTTTCTTTTCATGAGCGTCATGAGTGATACCTGCCACATATGAGAGGATCCTGCTGTCCCCCAGTTCATGGCAGATACATAGTGACATACATGTGGCAGATACACATGTCCCTTGTATGTCTGAATAGCTCTAGCATCTCTCTAATCCCTGTCCTTAAACTCCCATCTGAGGAATTCTAGCCAGTGTCCTTTTAATAAATTGCTTCTTTTCTGCAGCAATGATGTATTCAATTTTCCTTCTGCCTCCAGGACAAGGCAGATGGGACCTCACGTAGCTGCTGCTGACTGTTGTTATCATCTGCTTTTTACAGTTGGCTGTTGCATTTTTGCTTTCTGTGTGGGTCTGATCTTTGTGCAACGCTCAGGCAACTATTTCGTCACCATGTTCGATGATTATTCTGCAACACTGCCACTCACTCTTGTGGTAATCCTGGAGAACATTGCTGTGGCTTGGATTTACGGTACCAAAAAGTAAGAGTTCTTTAAAAGGGAGCCAAGGAATTCAGACTGTTAACACTCCTTCCTTCATTGCTATCATTACATTATGTTTATTATATGTATATCCCTCGTTTTCTCCTTTCAAGGAACTCAAGGCAGTTTACATAAGTCCCAGTTCTCATAACTACACAATTCCTTCTGCTCGCAATCTTTTCCCCACAACAGTGGGGAATAACCGTGTGAGGAAGGTTGGGCTGAGAGTGGCTGTGCCTGAAGCCACCTGGCTAGCTCCAGCTGTCGGTTGCCTGAGTCCCAGTCCTGCACTCTTAACCACTGCACCACACTGGCTCTCTTTAATGGTTTGTCTGGATTATTAACGGTTTGCTTTTCAAAACTTTGGCTCTACATGTGTGATGGACTTAACTGTGGTTGAGGTACTCTGATTTCTGAATACCACTTGGGCTTCTGATCCCACCAGCATTCCTTGATCAGATGTCACCATCCAAATTTGGGGAGGTAAGGAGTGAGGAACCAAGTTCTTGTGCTTCATCGGTTTGCTTTCTTCCCTTTCTAGATTCATGCAAGAATTAACAGAAATGCTGGGCTTCAGGCCTTACCTGTTCTATTTTTACACATGGAAGTACATCTCACCCATCTGCATGGCTGGCCTCATGACAGCCAGCATAATTCAGCTAGCAGTCAATCCACCAGGTTACAATGCCTGGATCAGAGAAGAGGTGAGTCAGTGAATGAGTCTGCCGCATTCAGCCAGCCCACGTCATTTGCTCCATGCTGCAGATTGGTCGAACATGAGCTGTATGCCAGTGCTGAATAAAAACACGGGAACCTTTCTGAAAGGGCTGCACCTGTTTGTGCAGTTTTTAGGCCATCATGCATGTGGATGATATCAGAGAGGCATTATCACTGTGACAACTGCTATCACACTGTGATCTGGAGGCCCAAAGGAGATTGCAACTCTTTCTCCTGCTTCGGTTAACCCCTCCAGAACTGCCTCATTTTGAGCCCCTTGGACTCTTCCAAAGCTGTGGCCAAAGAAGTTGCAAAAAGCTAATGAATCAATTTCCTGCTGGAGGTGACCCCAGGCAGAAGTGGCTTGAATTTCTGGCCATCTTCCCAACTGGAGATGGGAGCAAAGTGCTGGTTTTCCAGTAGCAGAGTGATCACTGTGGAGCTCCGGATTTGCACGTGCTCTAAGACAGAGTAGTCCAGGGTTTGGGTCTGCTAGTCCAGGATATGCAGCCTGGCATTGCAGTTCACTTAGCATGCAGCCCTTCGCTTATTTTGACAGACAACATCTTGCAAAGGCCATGCTTGCTGAGGCATGCTGGGGTAGGACTTTTTCTGCCTAAACATTTATTCTTTCTCCAGAAAATTGTTGATTTATCTTCCTAAACTCATGGACCTGTGCTGATGCCTTCTTCTTCCCTTTCTTAAATTGGGGCCACCTCCTAAAAGATCAAAATGCCCTTATGAATTATTCTTGAGAGACTAATCTTAAGCCATGTGTTTCAGTTTGTGTGTGTAGAAAAGAGAAAGGAGGGCACAAAATAGTCGTCTGGCACTTTCTTTTTAGTTATTAAGATTTCCCCTTGCAGTCCATTCTGGTCCTTCTCCAAGAGATGGAGAACAAATAGCAGTTATGTGCTTGCCTTGGTGCTGAAGGAATAGGAACCTAATCACCCCCTCTGTTTGTGAATTTGACCAATGCCAATTGCATGTCCCTTTCTCTTCCAGGCCACAGAGAAATTTCTCTATTACCCAAAATGGGCAATGGGTATCCTGGTCTCGCTGATCATCTTGGCTACCCTTCCTCTGCCTGTAGTCTTCATCCTCCGCCAGTTCCATCTGGTGTCAGATGGTTCCAATGCTCTGTCTGTCACATACAAGAAGGGCCGTATGATGAAGGACATCTCCAACTTAGAAGACAATGATGAGACACGTTTCATCTTGAGTAAAGTACCCAGCGAAACCCCTTCCCCAATGCCTACCCATCGTTCTTACCTGGGCCCAGGGAGCACGTCCCCAATGGAGATGAGCAATGTCGCCAATGGACGCTATAGCAGTGGGTACCTTATGGCTACCACTCCCGAGTCCGAACTGTGATCGTTGGTGAGCAACCTCCCCTACTTACTGGGTGAAGGAGAGGAGGTAATACACAAGGGGACGGTGTTCTGGAACCCCTTCCCAGAAATTACAGTGGTCAGGGGCCAGCCAGAGTGTAAAAGGTGGGAAGGGGAGGGACCTTCCTTCTGGAAATCTCCAGCCAAAATATCGCATCTTTCTTCAGTGAATCATAGTAATAAGCTGTTGCAATAAATGTTATGGGCACAAGGAAAATTTTACCCACCGGTACTGGGAAACACAAATCACTCGAGTTCAAGCAGTCAGAGGCTGGAAAAGGGAGTCACAATAAGGCAACAGCCAAAGAAAAGGTTTCATGCTCCCCAAAGCACTTTTCTCATCCATCCCTTCCTCTACCTGGGAGAAGAGGCGTTGTTGCATCCCACTGCATAGTTTTAACCATAACCACTTAGAGCACAAGAAAGATCAATCTCTTGATACAGATTTTTATCAGACCACTGGTCAATTTACACTCTGAGAATATCAAAATGGCACAACCTTGGTGAAGACGTTGTGCTTGTCAGGGCTGAGATATAGTTTGTGTAGGCAGCACATTATTCTGCTTGGCAATGCAATGGTTTGGTATCTGCCTCATCCTTGCTAATGGTGAATCACAAACTGTTAAGGTCTGAGGGGATTTTGTTTTCATGAAGACTGCAGTGGTACGCATTCTGATGTCACCAACAGTGTTTCTCTACCAGGAGCTTGTGCATGCAATGGTGCAAATTCGTGGATGTGTCATGTTTGCAGGACAAAACTAGGACTCTGTTGCATCTATGTAATTTTCTAGAATTCCTGGTTGTTTCTCCTGACGTCCTTAAGTAGACTTTGGCCTCAAGACCTTTTATGAAATACACTGTATGATGAAAGCTCTTCTTAGCTCTTCTTTATAGCAGTGGTGAGGAACCTGTGGTCCTGCAGATACTGTGGGCTTCCATCAGACTCAACCAATGTGGATGATAGGACTTGCAGTCCAGCAACATTTGGAGGGTCGGTTTCCTTCCCATGCTGTACAAGCACACTGAAAGCCTCATAGGCCTTTCTTCATTACAGTTCAGGGGCATGAAAAGCACATTTTAAAAAAGCAACACCTGCACATTCAAGGCAGCACTAGTGGCTCTAATTGCATATTCTGAACAACAAAACGTAAAACTTCCTTCAGAACATGGGTGCCCATATGTCACAGTCACCGTTTGGATATAGCGGAAGACATTCGTAGTGACTGGAGACATTATTTCTGCCTCCTGCTTACTCGCATGAAGTGGGTGACTCCACTGAGCAGGGACATTTTTTCAAAAACCCTTGTTTTAAAAGTGTCTTCTTATTTCAGTTACTTGGAAGTTGTACAACTCATTTATTATTTATTTATTTAAAACATTTCTATGCCGCCCCCATCGCAACAAAGCCTCGGGGTGGCTCACAAACAGCACAATACTCCCACAATACTCATGTGGGAGAGTCATATAGCAAGGATCTTTTTACAAAAATTGTTTGACTATGCCACACAGTTTGTGAACCTTTGAAAGGTTTCTTTTCTAATTCTGGATTTGAGCATTCCTCTGCTGCACAATTTGCATGTGACTGAACGCATGGAGTCTGGGGTTCATTTGTTTTTTTTAAGTGGGGAACAACAGAGGCTTTTCCTCACCACCACACCAGGGTACACACAGAGGAACATTGTGCTGTTGTGCAGTCATCATGCAGTGGGTAAAGTGTGGGAGCCCTTTCAATGCGCAGAGAGTAGGATGGATAAGTTAAGGTGATTGGATATACCCAGTACAAAACCCCATGGCCAAAATGTCCTTTTTCCCATCACTGGAGGAGTCTTTCAGCATGAATATGGAAAAACCAATAAGTCCGAGGATATATTTGCGCTTGCCGCAATAGGGCCAGGTGCCTCATGATCAGATGCAGTGACCTTAAACCAGGGAAAGTTTGGTGTAGGAATAGCCTACTTTCAGTCAAGGGCAGTGCGGGTTCCAGTGGCCCAGGGGTGGTTTCCCACCCTCGCCCCACAAGCAGCTGTCCAGGGGAGGCCACTTTCAATCACCCCCTTGGAGGCTGCCTCTACACAGCTAGGAGTTCGTGTGCAAAACCTAGCTGCAATTATGTACCTTGTAACCCCAGAGGCATCACCACGGAACACAGTGCAATCAACTTCTGAGTAAAGATGTCATGACTTGTGGAAAAACTGGAAAAAATCAGGGCAAGGGGGGTTTTTCCAAAATCTTCCAAAAATCCCTGAAAGGAATAGAGTTTCTTAGCTTCCCCCCACCTTTTCCCTCTTTCCTTGGGACCTCACATACCTACTTCTAGGTAAAAGCACAGGCTTCCAGCATGTAGGATTTTCTCCCACACCACTGGAGACCTCCCTGCAAATGAAAGGACTTGCTGTCGAGCAGGGAAGAGTCCCTGTTAAGTGTATCAAGCACATGCACCTCTTGCTGCAGTGAGGGACTGCTTAACGCCCGCTTCTGGTCGCCCGTTCTTGTGCAGCTGACCAGAGTGCCACTAATCTGTGTACTTGTTCACCTGACTGTGTGTCTTCCATTCACAGTAGTTACTCTCTTGAAAGGTCTCAGCTCATTCCCCAGCTTGTCATTGGAAATTTCAGTTCCTAGTGGTTTTTGTTTTGTTTTTGTTTTAAAGCATTGCATAGGCACACTATAGGAAGCAGGGGACCATTCTAGATCCCTTTGGAGCAGAAAGGAATTCCATTATGCCAATGTCTGCCCTGATTTATTCGTTTCATTTAAGTATATAAGGTATTCTCTCCATTCTGTTTCATGTTCAGCATGGATCATTCCCCCACGTAAATGTATCTGAAGTTTCCTTAAATTCCATTTGTCTCTTTTGCATTGTTTGATCTGAGCAGGAATTTATCTGACTTGCTTTGTGCAGCCTTTGTGCTAAGCTTTATTTATTTATATCATCATCACCACCACTTTCATAACTTACCATTTTTCCTTCAAAGAACCCAAGATGGCTTCCATAATCCTCATCTCCATTTTGCACTCACAACAACCCTGTGGTAGGTTAGGCTGGCCCCAAGTCTCCAGGTAAACTTCATGGCTGAGCAGGGACTGGAACCCAGACCTCCTGAGTCCTAGTTCAATATTCTAACTACTGCACCCTGCTGATATAGGTGCTTTTGAAACGTCACTACCCAACCCTTCAGTCCTTCAAGGTTTACTAATACCTGCCACTCTGAACCAAGGCCGGCACCACCATCAGGCATCCTTAGGTAGTTGCTAGGACCTCAGTGCTGCAGGACGGTCATTGCTAACACCTGCTCTGGTACAACCCATTGCTCCCCACATCATACACACTGGCCTAGTGTTCTGAGCAGTGCTGGGCAGTGGGTGTATCACCCATATCAGCCATATGACTTTCCTACACTGTCTCTGAACTAGCATCGCTAGCCAGGTGCATGGTGGGAAATCTAAATGGTGTGTAGTTGCAGTTACCTTGTGCTCTTTGCTCCACTGCTCAGAGCACTGATCTTTGCCACCACCAAGGAGATTGTTGAGCCCCTTGAAAAACCAATGCTAAAGGAGATTCTTTCTCCTTCATTATGCTGGCTAGGGCTGATGGGAGGTGTAGGCCAAATATCTGGAAGTCTACTGGTGCTCACCCTTTCTGTACAGTCTTATGCAAATGTGGACAGACTGTATTTTCTGTGAATCAGCAACAGAAGCAAGAACTAACTAGTCCCTCTTGACTTTATTCATCTGGCTTAAGGGCAATACATTGGCTGAAAAGAGGGACTCACCATTTTGTCACAGTTAAATTGTCTTTACTGCATAAGAGTGAAATGAATGTAGTTTATATACAAAGGGACAGCGGGGAGCCTGTTCTTGAGAAAGTGTCAGGCACAGGCAGATAAAAAATGACTATCTACTGACCCAAATGCACAGGTCCTCTGGTTATTTTTTGTTTTTAAAAAAGGCCCTCTTTAAAGGGTTTACTGATTATTTCGCCAGTGTCATTGCATAAGTATATATGCAGGCAGTTTACAATAATCTCAACCTCCACCATCCTATTTCAGCTGGACAATCCTCCTCTTGTTATTCCCCTCTGATTTGGATTCAGACTCCATGCCACTCATAGATTCTCATGCTCAGCTATGCATAGATTTCTCTTTCTGCATGTTGAATTAGTTAAACGAACACACTAGCCACAGTGATGTAATGTAATCTGGAGAGACAGCCAAGGTGGTTAATTCAGCTGTATTTCAGTTACCCTTGGTCTTTCCGCCATATGAAATATGCAACAAACCAAATTTTTGAAAATTATATCTATAAAAGCAGATGTTCTACAGCGAAGAAAATGAGGCCGACCCTGTCATAATACTGAAATGGCTCAGGAACAGAAATAAATTATGCTGTGAGCCAGTATGGCTTCTCTTGAGTCAATGACTCTCAAAGGCTGCTTTCTGCTGTCCATTTGGTTCAGTGGGTTTAATTGACACAAATATAGCATTGGAAAGCACCTTGAGAATCATCTAGCACAGCCTTCCCCAACCTTACAGACATATTTGGACTGCAGCATCCAGAATTCCCAGTCAATGGCCCTGCTGGATGAGAATTCTGGGTGTTGTAGTCCAAATGCCTCTGAAGGCCACCAGGTTGGAGAAGGCTGATCTAGTAAGTGGACAGAAAGTACACCTCCAGACGTTTTAAATTCCAGACCCCAGCATTCCTGACTATTGGCCACAATGACAGGGACTTCTAGGAGTTAAAAGTCCAATCATCTAGAAATCTACCTTCTTTTCACCCCGGTAGGCCAAGTCATTGCTGATACAACTTCCAAGACACTCTGCTCCACTGCCAAATAACTTGTTCTGTCAGGAGGTTCTTGCTAACATTCTGTCTAAACACTACTTCTTGCAATTTAAATGTGTTAATTTGGCTCCTCACAACAATTGTGTTCCATTGTCTGTCTGTCAGCCCTTCAACTTCTAGAAGGTGATGATGACATTA